TGTTCTAAGAACTACGGGATAAATTTATAATGGGAATAAAAGAATGAAAGAAATCGGAAACTCTTTTCTAGTAATCATTTTACTCCTCGAAAGTTGGTTTCAGTATCACCTTTTTAAGGAAATGACACATGAAATGGATTTCAGAAACTGAATCTCGAAATCATCAATAACTATCCAATATTCTGCATTGTGTAAATATTTATTTAATTTGCATTTCAACCAAATGTTGGAAACAAAGCGGAAAAAAATCTCCTTACAAAAAGAAAAAAAAAAAAAAAAATTCCCATTCTTTTACAGTGATATTCCATTAAATTATATCAGAAAATCATATCACTGTTGGATGCAATAAATACTAATTTCAGACATGTTGCCTGTTTATGTTAACTCTCTTTTGCAACTGAACACTGGTAGTTTTGCCTAAGTTTGAATTTCGGCGAATGCGTTCGTTGCTTGGTATTTTGGTGAATTTTAGGTTGAATATACCAAACCAGTTTCCCTGAAAAAGTCATCTACAAACGCATCCTTTTTCTCAACCAGATGCCCATCGTATGCTGCGTGACGAATGTGCAAGAATTTTTCTTCTTTTACACAGCTTTCATAATCGCATATTACCCACCAGCGGCCGAGCGGTAAAGACGCTGAACACTGGTAGTTCGGTCCGAGGTTCGAATCCCGCGAACGGGCTGGCTGCATGGTCGTTTTCGTGGTTTTCCCCATGTGTAACGTGTATACGAGCCAGTTTCCGTTAGAAAGTCCTCCACGAAGGCATCCCTCCATTTAGGCAGATAACCCTCGTGTGCTTTGCCTTGAATAGTACCATACCAATAATACCATAATCACATATTATATTATATTATTGAACATTTTTAATTTGCAAAACTATAAGTTATGGAAAACTCAATGACATATTTATTTAGATTAATAAAAAGATATTAAATGCGTCATCGGCATCATTTTGTTAGTAATATCATTATATAATCTATTGTACTTTTTTTTTAAGTGTACTGGGGAATTAAAGAAAATTTCTCAAAAGTATCATCATGTTTTCGTAAACTGATATATAGTGTTGCATTATTATATTAAATTTCAGTTTATTATAGCAGAAATCGTAAATAGCTGCATTATGTATAGCTCTTGCTTCACTGAGCTTTCGGAAGTTAATCTGCGCCCATCCGCATAATCGATAAGCAGGTTGATTTGTTTCTCAGTGCAATCGCTTTGGGATCTTAATTCTACTGACCGATGTTCTATAAATTTAAAATATTTTGCCCTGCCTAAATTAAAAAGCAACAAAGCCGGGCTCATGTGAATCACTAGAAGAGGCGCCAAATTGGCTACACGAATTCGAAAATTACTTTAATTATTAGGGGAAATAGGCTTCGTCAAACTTAAATCAATAAAACAAACCAAAAAAATTGCAAGAAAACCTGGAAATTAATGCAGTATGCATTTCAGTGTTATTTCTTATTTATCAAAAACGAATTTTTTAACGTTTTCATTTGAAAATTATAAATAATTGGCTACATCATTTCTCTGAATTTATAAAACTACGATTAAAAAATACTTTAAGAATTATGGTATAATTATGCTATAAGAGTTATGACATTTTGATTTAATATAATTACTTTTGCTGAATACAAGTGTAGCTATTTTTATATTTATATGGACGCGCATTGACCTTTCTGCCTTAGGTGAAAAAATATCTTGGCACGGCTCTGATAAGCAATTAAGATTAGAAATATGCACAAAATTAGTAACTAGGCAATACAAAACTTCCTTTTCTGTTTTGGATTTCCAGAAAAAAATATCTTTTTTCGTCTAAACCAAAGCATGGACACAAAACGTGTTCCTTCCTCCGTATAAGGGCAAAACCAGCCCATCTGCTTAATCGCCTCTAGGCGGTAATCGAAAAGGACAGTAGGAAACCATCACTTAAGTGAAACGACTTGTTGATCGCCCAACAAGGAACATACCTCCATGACAAGGAAGGGGGGAAGAAAATCTAACAAGGCCGTTTTCAGGACAATTTTGGTTCACTCTAATGAAAAAAATTGTTAAACATGGTTAATTTTTACTGCAGTTTTCGAGACGTAAATAGATTTGAATGCGAGCCTCCCGGTGGGTTAAATATGAAGTAATCTGTTGTTGATTATTTACAAGAAATGAAAATAAACTTAGAACGAGCAGCTGATCAAGTATCCTTGATATCATCTGAGAAACAGGCAGCTTATTCGGATTACTTCAATCGTCGAGCTATACCTAAATTCAAAGTAGGAGACAAAGTTTATTTGCTTATTCCTGATTCGTCCAATAAACTTTATGCAAGATGGACTGGTCCAGGGGAGATTATAAAATACTGTCCACCTCATTCATATAAACTCAAACTTTCAGATGGGAAAGTAAAACACGTTCACGTGAATAAAATCAGAAAGTATGTCGCTAGAGAAAATGCTGTGGGAGTTATTTTCGAAAATGAAGAAGAATTTGGAGAGTTTCATCCAACTCCGCAAGCTTCTTCTCAAGATATGCAAGTTGTTCTCCAAAAATTTCGACTTGAACATTTAACGGGCGATCAACAGCAGCAAATTAAACAACTCATAAGAAAGAACGAATCGTTATTTACAGGTAAAGTGAAACTTGCAAAGGTGGGTTTTCACAAAATAAAATTAAAACCCAGTGAAGAAAGGAAAAAGCCACATATCTACTGGATTCCAGAAAATTTAAAATCCAAAGTTGATAAACAAATTGAAGAGCTGTTAGAACTTGATTTAATAGAAGAAAGCAGTGCAGAAATTGCATATATTATAGTTTGTGAGACGAGAAAGACGGGGGAATTCGATTGTGTGTTGATTATCGTGCATTGAATTCTGTAACAATTACTGATGATTTTCCTATGCAAAATGCTTTAGAACTTATAAATTCAATAGGAGAAGCTAATATAATATCAACACTGGATTTACTACGAGGTTATTGGGCTATTTCTATGGATCCTGAAAGTCGTGATTACACTTCATTTAAAACCCATCGACAGCAATACAGATTTAAAGTTATGAGTTTTGGTCTGAAAAACGCTGCAGCAACATTTCAAAAGGAAATCAATAAAGCACTCCATGAATACAAAGACTTTTCCAGAGCATATATTGATGACATCGTAATATTTTCAAAGGACTGGAAATCTCATATGGTTCATTTGGATATGATACTCACTAAGCTGGAAGAGCTTCGCTTTACAGTCAATATCAGCAAATGTAATTTTGCCAAACGCAAATCAAATATTTGGGTTCATGTAATCGGATCTGGAAAACATCAAGCCGATCCTGAGAAGATAGAAGCAATTTCCAGATTATCAAAATTGAAGACCAAGAAGCAACTCAGAAGTTTATTAGGTCTATGTAACTATTATAGGGACTATATTCCAAAATATTCTGAATTAGTATATCCACTTACTAAATTTACAAAGAAGAAGATACATGAGGAAATACCATGGAAAGAAAAGCACGACATTGCTTTCGAGGAACTCAAGAATGCTCTGATTAAAGCTCCATCGTTGTATACACCAGTTTTGGAGCAACCATTCATTTTACATTGCGATGCCTCACAAATAGGAGTTGCAGCATGTTTGTCACAAAATTTCAATGAACGCAATTATCCCATAGCCTATGCATGTCAGAAGTTAACTCGAGCGCAGCAATCGTGGTCTACTATCTTTACACCGACCATAATCCTTTACCTTACCTGACAAAATGTGCGCCGCAATCATCTAGATTACAACGTTGGGCTTTTGCTTTGCAAAAATATGAAATAGACATGAAGCATCTACCAGGAGCCAAAATGGGTAATGCAGATGCTTTATAGAAGGATGAATATCCTTTTTATTTATTTCTTTTATGGATCAAAAACATTTATGGACAATTCATAAAGAGTTTAATTTTGGTGGTTACATTAATTGTTAATTTTCTTATTTTCTTTAAAGCTTATTGCAAGATATATCTTTACTAAGTAATATTTGTAAAGTTATTGAAATTAGTTACTTACAGCAATTAGATGATTTAAGTGTAGCATTCTTAACAATTTAGAAGTTTTTCTTTAAAATGTACACTTGTAAGAGTTAACTCTTTTGTTATGCAAATGATGTAATATTTTATATTTTCTTTTAGTTGATTAGTATTTATAATGTTGAATTGTGAGCACCAGGCTTTGTTATCAGAATGTGTTTGAACATCTTGCCGGAAGGTGTAGTGCCTGGTCCTCCGAAACTGTAACCCTGAAAATAGGTAGCGCCCTCTAGGTGGAAAAAGGCTAAGTTGGAGACTGGCTTTCGGTGGGAGAGGCCGAATGCTCAGTATGTTCAGTGTGGTAATTTTCTATTATCTTATATATTTCTATTTGTACAAAGTGTATATAGTTTACGTTAATTGTGTGAATAAATTAAAAGATAAATCTGAGTCTATTAATTACGGCACCGGACACGGCTGGATCTTACAATTATATACCTTGTAAGTGACAAAACTAAATCTCCTTTATATGCTCATTTACAAAATCATGCTAGGATATCTATATATACCAAATTTATGTTAATTTTGTTTACTTCACATTACATTCCCCCCCCCGGTTTTTGACACGTCCATACACACACACCAATGGACTCTATAACATACGAATTTTCCTCTCAAAGCCCATTTTTTTTTTTTTTTTTAAATCCTTTCCTTTCTCCTCTTAACTACTTTGGGCCATTTATATAAAAATTTTTTTTGCTCCAATTTTTCTTACAGGCCTTTTGAACTCGTATAAAACAATACGAAGTTCTTTTTACACTTCTCTGGAAAACGAAATTGCCCCCCTTTCTATATACCTTTCTTTCTCACCTAAGCTTGATTTTTCGCCCATTGGTGCAGAAAGACTTAGTGGGTGCAAAACAAGACATCTGTCTATTTTGTCTGTCTGTCGAAATGAAATGTTGTTGTCAATTGGTTGCTATGGCAACAGGAAATGTTAGTCTGTAAGTATACCGAGTTTAATTCAATCAGACGATTTAATATTTACATACGTTGTATTAATTTTTCATTATGGAGGAAATCAAGTTAGTAATTTGCAAGTTCTCCTTTAAAACTCGGTTAAATGGCTGAACTCTCAGTGTTATCTTAAATTGATGATTTCTTTGTACTATGCTAGTACCAAACATTGTCTCTTAATTGTATTTAATAGAAGATGAAGTATATTAAAATCATGTATGTTATAAAAGTTATTCTTTCCAGAGAGTAACAATCAATTTAAAAAGTTTGTTCTGTGTCATAAAATTTATGTAATAGAGAAATATTTTCATTTATTTTTTATATTTAGGAAATTGATTTTAAATTCAGTAATCTTAGTTAATTTTAAATTGAGTGATTTTAAATATAGTTCAAACTACACTGGTAATATATGCAGGATATATGCTTGTGTATAGCTTGATCTATAAACCCTCAAAACAGATCACAAAATTAAACCATAACACTCATGTTAAAAAAATGCTACATTTAAATTTCTTGTATGTTTTTAGATATAAAAATCTAGATTATGTAGATAAGTGTTATTTTTATTTCAGTCACAAATGTAATTTCATAAAAAGAAAATGCTATATCAAAAATAACAATTTTTAAAATAAAATTTATCATACATAAACTTTATTTTAGAAATCAAGCAAAAAATTAGAAGTCAAAAGAAAAATAGAGACTATATGAGATTTTACCATATTTAATTATTTTTTGAAGTGGAAAGCTCATTCGTGATATTTACTATTTTGTTGTTGGCACTTTTATATGCAAGTTAATTGTATTCAACTTATATTTCTAGTGTTATAAAATTCTATAAATTACTATATGTTGAAATCAAACTTTCACTTATACACAGAAGTACTTGTATATGAGTATATGCAGTACTCAGATTTGTAATATTATAGATATTCTCAATGTACTTTATATTCATGCATATGTAGTTTATAAATAATAATAATAGGAAGGATTCAGTTGTGAATTCTGATATGAATACTATCTGAAAATTATTAAAAAAGAAAACATAAGTAGATTGTTTAAATTTTCATTTTAACATGCAATTCTGTGTCAAGGTTATAGCCTGTTGAAGTTTATAATATGTTAGTTATGTTACAAGGTTGTAATGCATTATATACGCATACCACATGAACTTCATTCGTATTATTAGTTACAGTTTCTTAAGAAGCAGATTATTTTTTTAACTGTTGTTTTACAAAATAACTAAAATAACTACTATCAAACTCTGATGTGAATGCAAGCCAGTTATAATAGCCTTTAAAAGTATTTTGTAATCTTTTAATAATAATTTTTTGTTGTATATATAGTTTGAATGCAATATGGATAATGATCCTTTTTCATGTTTTCATATCAAAAATCAGACAAAATGGAATGTTTAAAATTTTTCCATTTTCCTCTGGAGTACACCAGCAGCTGAGCACTGATAATTCAACCTAGGTTCAGATCCTTGTAAACAGGCTAACTGCATGAGAGTTTTAATGGCTTTCTATTTCCTGTGAAACATCCTTTACATAAGCATCATTATCCACAGGCAGATGACCCTTGAGTTGCTTTGCCTTAATTGGATAATCTAACCTAACCATTGAGCTTTATATTCATATATTTATAATTTTTAATGTTTTATATGTACATACTGTAATGATTTTTATACTGGCTGTTAGTGAGGTAAACTCGTATGATTAAAAATTTTCTTTTGCTAAAATAGGCAAATTTAAATATACATATATATTTCTTATTTACTCAATCTCAATGAAATAGTGAACCTGCAAATGTAACACTTTTTTCCTAAAATGCTTTAATTATTAAATTAATAAATTAATTGCAGTAATACTTTTAATGAGTTATTATTTTTTTTTTCTTATTTTTTTGCCTAAATTGATTTTAAATTATATACAGTATATGTTTGTAATATGAATAATTTTCAGGTCTGAAAATGGTTCTTCAAAATGGTTACATGCACATTATGATCCACTGGCAACATTGTATACATTTTCTTCTTGCATGTGCTTAGCTGATTTACATGGAGATGGAGATTATAAACTTATTGTTGCTGATTTAGGAACTGGAACACATAATATGAAGCTTAAAGTATACAAAGGTAATTGAAAGCTTTCGTTGTCTATTTTATAGTTATATACTATTTTATTGTCTATTATACAAAATGTCAGATCCCAGGTACATGAAAATTCTGTGTATCTGAGCATAAAAATGTAATTGAGAAGAAAGCCAAATAAATAGAAATTTTGGTACTATTCTGTTATTGGGACCAGATTCAGAAATGTAGGTATATTTACATGTAGATATGTGAGTATTTATGTATGTAAATACGTATGTATGCACACACAGGCATGCATATATGTATAATGTATACCTATATAGATTTCTGAATCTGGTCCCGTTAGCAGAAAAGTACCAAAATTTTCAGTCTAAAATAATAAAAACAATCATCTTATTTATTATCAGCTTAAATATCAAAAGCTTATTGAAAAAATATACTTCAGATATAAAATCCGACATAATTTAGTAGGCTTTAAATATATAAAAGTACAACATCTTATTTTATTATGAAGTTCAGTTGACCATCAAACTTGGAGAATACCCAGCCAAACTTGTGCCAGTCATTCTGGAAAAAAATGATCAGTTAGATAATCAAAAGATGCAAGTTATAGATAAAGACTACAAAAAAAAAAAAAAAAAAAAAAAAGAGTAAATTTTTCATGTTGCATTATTTATCTCCTTCATAAATCATTTCCATTAACCCATATTTTTCATGATGCCTAGATTTTCTAATTTGAAAATACTCCATTTTGTGCATTTCTGTTTAGGGAAAGTCCAAAATTTTAATATATTTTTCAAAATATGAGTTAAAGACAGATAAATAACAGTTAAAATGTGTCCTTTTCAAAAACTTATCCAACTTAATAAAAATAAATCAGATTTACATAAAAGCCTTATGCTTGACCATTATTGGCACTAAATAACACAAACCTGGTGACAGTTTTTGTTGTTTTGAGTTGTAGTCCTTCTATATTCTCTTTATGATAGCTTCATAAGTCTCTCATTTGCTTGATTTTTTATAAAGGAAAAAAAATGCTAAAATTTTAAAATACTGTGCTATAATAATACTTGAGCTTTTTGATTAGTTGAATGCTGGGTGGTTGACCTTTTACTTTATAAATAAGATTCATATTTCTTATCAGAGATTCATATTTAAATCAATATCTTTATCGTAAGTTAATTTTAAATAATCATTCATGAATACTTAGCTGTCTAAATGATTTGTTTAATTAAAATTTGGAACTGAGATTACTTTATTTGATGATTTTAGTTAAGAGTATTTTCTAAAGTGTAAGATTTTAGTTAAGAGTATTTTCAAAATTTCAAGAAATTTTGTTTATTAAATGAAAATTGTCATCATCTGGTAATGTTTTTATACCTTTGCAAAGAGGAACATTTTCTCGCTTAGAAGAAAAGATGCTAAACTAAAAAATCTATTTTAGTAGAATTTAGTGTCTATGCTTTTGAGAATTTATAGATATTTTCTTTACAGAATATGAGTAAATATTTTTTGTTCTAAAAATTGTGTTGAGTTTTAAATTATTAGCTATTGTTGATATTGCATGTATCTCTTAGTATTTCTGTGTTTAAGTATGAAATGTTTTTTCATTCCATGTCTAATGAATGCTGCAAATACATCAGTCCAAATGCAGATACCTATGTATTAGTGTAAATGCCTTTATAAAGTTTAATGTTTTTTTTTTTTTTTTATAAAAGAAAAAGAACAATTATAATTGCAAAGAATTATTTATTGCATGTATGTTTTGTTTTAATTTAGGTATTTATTCCTAGTTAAATAATCAACAAACCAATTTACAAGTGATTTTTTATAGGGAAGGGAGGGGTTTCTGGTGAAAATTTTGAGGTCATCTCTCTAAGAATATTTAAAAAACAATTGTTCCATTTATGAATTTTACAGCAACTATAATCCTACAGAAATTTTACAAAATTTTCTGTTGCAGGGAAATTTCACAAGCATATACGAGGGTTGGAGCAAAAGTCATGACAACTATTTTTTTCTTTTAGATATGTGAACGGATCACAAAACATATATCTGTCATGTGGAAGTTCTGCAGGCATAGTATGTATGCAGAACAACAGATGGCTCTGTGATAGCTTTCTGTGTGGTAGCGAGGGCTCTGAAATCAGTCAGTTGGTGAGTGTCGTGTGAGATGGAAATAACCAGTGTTGAGCAGCGCACTTACATTAAAATAGCTGTTCTCCGAGGGAAAAATGTGATGGAATGTCACAGTGAATTAGTAGAAGCCCTTTGGAATAATGCCCTACCATATCGTACAGTAGCACGGTGGGTAAGAAAGTTTCAGCAAGGACGTGTGTCAACCAGTGATGAGCAACGTTCGGGATGACCTTGAGTGTGCCGTCATCGAGCACCTCATGGATGAAGACAGACGATGGGCGTTACTGGAGTTAGATAGGGCAAGTGGCATCGAGAAACGCACTGTCCACAGGATATTGCGTAATGAGCTACAGCTACACAAAATCGCTTTGCGGTGGGTACTGCATGCACTGACGGAAGTTCAAAGGTGGGTGTGCTATGCAATATGCTCCGACCACTTTGCATGCTGGCAACAGGACGGCGATCAATTCTTTTCACAAATAATCATCATCAATGAATTTTGGGCCAGGGCATACAAACCAGAACTGAAATGTCAGTCCGTGGAGTGGTGACATCCTGGATCACCAAGACAGCAGAAGGTCCGTCAGAATCCTTTACCAGTCAAATTGATGGTGATCATCGCGTATGATGTTAGGGGTGTCATTGTTTGCCACTTTGTTCCTCATAGCAGAACAGTGACCGCACGGGACTACAGGGACTCATGTCAACTTTATGTGTATTGTGTTATTCTTTCGCACGGTGAAGGCCATATTGCCCTGTATACTACCGTAATAAATTCGTGTGTTACGATATTTCAGTGCTATTCATTGTCCACACATGTAGTTAAGACCTTGTCCTTTCATCTGTGTATGTCACATTTTCCAACCGGACTGGTATCTTCAAGAAAAAAAATAGTTTCCATGACTTTTGCCTTAACCTACGTATTTTAAGATTGAATAAGACAAAAAAATGAAAAGATTTGTCTGTAAAATTCATTGGAACTAAGAATACAAAAAACAGAACATATTTAAAAAAGTGATTTTGTTTGTTAAAACTTAAGTATTGCTAACGCACATAGTTGCCAAATTTTGCACTTTCTGAAAAATTATGTGACTTCTATAAGGTGGTTACACTAATACATAAGTGCTGACACCTATTAGTACTTTATGTTATTAACTAATTTAAGTCAGTTTATACGTATATGTTAGTACTATTATACAGTGTTTCAAGCTTCTACCATGGTTAATGACATAATTGACTGTCATTTAACATGAAGCATATTAATTCTGTAATAATTAGATATCACTATTCTTTTAATAGCATTTAAAATCATTTTGTAGGTACTCATTTGCTGTCAGAGCACACCATTATTGATCTTCCCACTGGTGTTGTTTCTTTTCATATGGATACTTGTGACCCACGATCCCCAGGTATAATTGTAGCAATAATTCATTATTTTGTCTTTGAACAATAAAATAAAGAATATAAATGTAATTTTATCACTTTTTAATTATTTATGTTTTGAAATTTGATAGACCCATTTTTATTAATTCTGTTATTAAGTTAATAATTATAATTTTTCTGCTATAAGAATAGAAATCTTTTAGTATATCTATTTAATTTTTTTTCTATATTTTATATGCATTTATCTTTATTATAATATTTAAAGTGTTAAATTATTTTAATTTTCTACAAAATACTCACTAAATTTTCTTCCCTGGCACATTAGCAATAGCTGTTGCATCTGGTGCTCATATATATATTTACAAGAATATGCGTCCATTTTACAAATTTACTTTACCAGCTTCTAGTGTTTGTTCTTCAGAAATGGAAGCATGGAATCAGGCAAAAAATGTAAGTTTGTGAGAAATTAAATTCAGATTTTTTTCATAGTGAAATAGATTTTTTTCATAGTGCAGTAGAAATCGAATTATATCACTTATAAACTTATAAAAGGACTAGTTGTTTTCCTTATTTCTTTTCTTTGCCCTTTATGAGTTTTTGTACTTACATATTATCCCATCAACCATGAAACTGCCAATAAACAGTGTGCTTAATCATCAGTTGTGGATAAGTGTGTCATTTTATGTAATTCCAATTGATTCCAAATAAGCCACTTTTTGCTTTTATGAACAAGGATATAAATTGACTGTTATTGCTGTACTTTATTCTTGCATTAAAAAATGAATTTGATGGCTGTAAAATCAAATTTGTGACTGCTCCATTTCATTTAAAACTGGTTGAGAAAATTAACATGTGTTGAATGGAGGAAAGAATAGCTTAATATGGCTAACAAAATAATAATAGATTAGGGCAGTCATTTGCAGGAAGTTTGTATTCACAGTTCTAAGTAAAGCTTCTGTTAAAATTGGAGAGCCTAACAAAATGGTAGCCTTTTTATCAAGCAAAAAGATGAAGTGGACTCCACAGCAGTGGCTATTTGGTGCACTATGCAGAGAGACTGATGACTATTTATTGTAAGAGTTTTAAATAGAATAGTGGTTCAGAGTTCTAAAAAAAATGATTGGCACAACTTTTGCGTGATCTCTCCTAGTGTTCATGGTTTGATGGTTGTCAATTTTCACGGTGAATGGGATAATACATTAGTACCCAAATTTCATTTTATGTATTTTGTGCTTAAAATAAATTTTCTCTTTTTTTATCAAAACATGATAACTTAACTGGAGAAAAAGTAATTCTGAATTTAAAGTATCTGAAAACAGGTACCAAAAGTAAATCAACTCAATTAATGCACACTAACAAAAGAAGCAATATATTTATTAAGTTTGAAGTCTTTTGATGAAAATACAATGAGTTTAATAAAACCTAATAGATAAAAGACCATCATGTCCTATTATTCTTTATATAGGCTAATGGCCTATATAAAATATAAAAGGAATTTCAGATACTGCCAAAACATTTTTCACTCTCAAAGTTTCTGGTAACTTTAGATGTTACAAGGAACTTTGGCATTGAACTGATGGACAACAAATTGAAAATATGTAATTCTGTGAAAATTATTACAATCTCTCTATATAAAATTTTTAGCATATTGCAAATATGCAGTTCTGTGAAAATTGTTACAATCTATATATATAAAATTTCTGGCATTAAATACCACGCAACAATTATCAGATACCAAACTGCAGAAGGGCATTCTGTAAGCATGCAGTTTTCTATGACTATAATAAGAAAGTTGTTTCTTTCAAGGCAGAGAGATGTGATAAAACAGTAGGCACAATTAATTTTATTTTCTTGTGTATCTTACCCCCTCTCCCCCCAAGATGAAAATATTAATAATATGTTGTGGAAGCTAGTTATCTGGGCTGAGCAAAAACAAACAAACAAAAAAGTACTGGGTATAAGGAATGAAGTTTCAATGGAAGGTAAAACTTTTCCATGTATAGTGCAAAAGAAAATGCAAGAGTAGAACCTGTATAAATCATATTGTCAATAGTGCTCCATATAATAGCTGCTGAAAGGAACAATTAGAAGCTGTTACAGGTACCAATTAATAACTGTGCAATACTTTAGTATTCAAACAAGAAATATGCCAATATGTATTTCATATATGAATGAATTATGAGTATTCAAAACAAAATTAACACTTCAGCCAGAGACTTCAGCCATAGCTTCAGATGTCCTGGTGAAATCATATGCAGTGTGCTCCATTGGTGGCTGTGTGAGATAGTTCTTTTGCAGCCATGAGAACAGCTCATAGGTGACACTGAATGTGTAAACTCTAATTTTAGAAGAAAGACTGGCCAATGTGGTCTTCTTTGATGATTAACAGCCAATGTTTGTTTCTCTACAACTTTTACAAAGGAAACAGTACCATTACTACATGCAATGCATATAAGGCTAATCATCAAATTTCATTATCCAGCATAAATAGCATATGCTCTTTCTTGAATAAACCAAATCCCCTTATTTGTAGCTCACATGCTGTTTACAGGTGAAGTGCGATTTTAGCAGTATGGTATCCTCAACATTAAGAACATATACGGCATTTCTTCATATATTCCTCATGTATTTTTACTAATTTTATTGTCTGAAAATCAAGAGGGGGAAATTATATGTATAATTTAATATCTGAAGAACACGGAAGAACATAAATGAAGTAAGAACATAACAAATGAAAAGTGGTCATGGAAAGCTTTGGGTTTGATTATGGCAGAGGATTCAAGGAATATCTGCCTAAGGTGAGAGATGCCTTTTGTGGAGGACTTTTTAATAGTAGTCGTGGATAAACTATAGGTAAATATCGTGGATAAACTATAGGTATATTAATTCTTTAAAAGAAACCTGAATTCCAGTAAAGGTGCATAGTAATATTAACGTTACAGTATTTAATAAGATATTTTCATTTCTACTTCACTGTAATTTGAATTTCACCTTTTCTTATTGTTGTCTTTGCTAATCCTTAGACCAGTGGCGTAGCTAGGGCAAAGGGGGACATCTGTCCCCGGGCACAGCATCCAAAGGGGCTCCAAATTGATGCAACAAAATTTTTTAATGAAATGTTTTCCATTCTTGGCACACAGGAAAAGGTGCAAATTCTTCAATTCCCCGCGCACTGGGAACTCTAGCTACGCCCCTGCCTTAGACCCAAATCATTCATAAATAATTAGAGAAGGTGAATGTTCATCTGTCTCAGTTCAAAGACTGAATGTCAGTTCATGTTTGCTTTGCTGTGATGGGTTTGTTCTTGTATTAGTCTGTCATAAAATTCACAGTTGGAAGGGGAAAATTTAGCTTGACCTTTGTAGGTGATTTGCGAGGGTTTATCTTTGTTGGTAAGATGAAAACAATCATTTTAAAATGGATGTATCATTTTAAAATTTAGGAGAATAATAAATGTTTCTCTGAATTAAGGAAGAGGAAAATTATTGTATACACTTGTGTAACTGTTGTGCTCATGTAATGTTTGCACCCCAACTTTACAGATAAAATTTATGTAAAAAAAGTGACCCGCACAATGTCTGCACCCCAAAAACTAAAGAGTTTGTTACTTTAAAATATATATTTTTTTAACATCGCCTTTTCCCCTTTAGTCAATAAACACCTTTAAAGAAAGAATATGCATTTGTTTTATCTTTGGTTGGTGCCAGGATAGAAAGCAGAGACTTTCCTTGCATTCTGGTGCAGCTGTTATTTAGTCATAACATCAGCGCCAGCAATCCAGTCGGCAGATGCGATAATAAATGAAGGCAGTCCAAACAGGTTTTCACCATACTGGCTTCCAGGAAATACTGTTTTGTAATGAAATTACTTTCCCCTCCTTCCTCCTTGGAGCATTCACATATTTCAAGCTTTCTCTTTTCATTCATATCATTTGGAATTCATGGTAGTTAGCATGTAGCGTGCTTGAAATGGGAAAATACAGCAGCTATACAGTGGCTTTTAAACTGAAAGTCGTAGATTTGTGCAGGAAAATGGGAAAAGAGCAGCAGCAAGAGTATATAATGTGGATGAAAAGTGTGTGCACAATTGGAGCAAACAGCATGATCAACTGGCAGCAACAAACAAAACAAGACATGCTTTTCGTGGTTCAAAATGTAAGTTTCTGAACTTGGAAAAAAAAGTTGTTGCATATGTTCGGGATATGCATGCTCAAGTGTACGCAGTAATTTGGGAAATGTGTCAAATAAAAGCACTTGCTGTGGCACGAGACAAACACATTTATTACATTGCAATTTAAGGCGAGTGAAGGCTGGTTGCGGCGAATGATGAGACGAAATGGATTTTCATACAGTGCATCAGAACAGATATTTTTTTAAAGTAATGTATGCAAGATATTAAAAAAACCAACATTTATTTATTTGTGTAAAAGTAAATATTAAATTTGCAAGTGTTAGTTAATTTGTGCCTTTGTAATAACGTTTACATTATCAACACTCGTCACATATTAGTTCGCGTATATGTGACGAGTGTTGATAATGTAAACGGGTACTTTATATTATATATGTGGATGGGAGAAAGTGAGCTTGTAAATTCTAGGTAGCAATTAAACAACTTTAAATTTTATTACTTATGCCATTTTCTTCCACTTAGAACTTAACTTGGTTGTTTGGAATGAAATTTACACCCAAAATTACTCACGAGAAAAGTCCTTCACAAAGGCATCCCTTCCCTTAGGTAGCGGGCTTTAGTCCGCTCGGCTGCATGTGTGTTTTCGAGATTTTCCACGTGTGTAACAAATATGCAGTATCTTGTAGATGCATATGTGAATACAGTGGGTGCAGCAAAGGTAAAATCGCTGAACACTGGTAGTTTGGTCCAACTTTTGAATCCCGGAGAACGAAAGCAGTCTTGCTTGCTAGTAAACTATAAAAATTCATGTACAGTGAATAATTTTGTAGCATGGAACTTGCATAAGGTTTTGAATTTATCATGTCTGACGTAGCTTTAAAATGCAAAAGTGTATAGTCCTATAAAAAATAATTTTAAATAAGAACATGAAAATTGGATATAAAATGTGATACAGAAAAGCTGATATTACAATTTATTAGAAATATATGAAAAAAGTAACAAAATGTATGGTTACCCCTGACTCTTCATGAAAGCTTCACAGCAATTTTTCATTCTAATTGTCCAAGAGTGCCTGTGGTAACAAAGTGTATTAATGCCGAATAACACTTTTGAGCTTCTGGAAAGTGCTAGGTGGAAGATGCAGTGATGCTAGTCAGCTTTCCAATGTGTCATACTATTGGATTTAAATCCAGAAATTAGCGGCCATTCCATCCACTATATTTTCTTGCCCTTAAGATAATTGGTCAATAGTGCAGTTTGATGGAGATGAGCATTGGGAGGAACTTATTATTGGATGCACTGCCAAACTGCTTGACGTAAGGATCAAGAACTTTACCTCTTTGTATTTCAGTATTCATAGTTGCACTGGTAAGAATTTGTAGTCCAGTGCAGCCATTCGAAACTATGCCTGCCCATCCCATGATCCCACCCCCTTTCTACTAATGCTATTGACAGATGTTTGCAGGTTTAATGCACATGTTTTGCTCCCTGCAGATTATAACATGTCTGGAATCACTCACCCTTTTTCAAACTTCTTAGATCAAAATAGTGAGACACAAATCAAGGATTTGCCTGATTATAGCGGTTTTTTATGTATCTTGTCACTAATAGTATATCTGAATAGTTGAGTATCAAATCCCATTGCAGCTAACTTCCGTGCAATCTGAGCTGATGTCACTTGTCCATTTCAGTACTGTCTAATTATCTGCACCTTTAAAAATTGAAATTACTTCTTATGAAGTATGATATAATAGTTGATGTCAGAAACTCATATTTTTTAATTATTTAAGCATTTTATTGTAGGAATTATTATGAAGACTGTTTTATTTGTTTAACTATTTAAAGCCAATAAATCGAATGGTATGCTTATTGAATGTACACAATTAATCAGGGGTACTGATATTTATTTATGCAATTGATATTTCAAATTGTATTCTTAAAATAAATTATAAATTATGAATAGAACAGTACCTTTGGGCCGTAAAAATTGTCAAATAAATGTGGTATGATTGTCAGTGTGTTGGTGATTTTTCATGGGAATGCAGATTCTATTTCTTTTAGCAATTATCATTCAAATAGCAATCCTGAAATCTATTGAGGCATATTATAAGCCCTTATCTGTTTCTCTGCATATAAGATCAGCATCTTTAAACCATTTCCATATCCTTCACATGATGCTTTTGGCTATTTTAAGTTTTTATAAGCCTGTACCTGTGTCTTTCCTGCTTCCATTCTTCCAATTATGCACCATATTTCACAATCCATCAAATGCTTTCTCAATAACATGTCTAATCTTCCGCATAAAAATTATTTTTTCAATTACTTTCACAATCCTTAGAATTTGAAATATCCTTTGCATTTCTTTCAACGCATGCCGAAAGAATGGGCACAAAAATTTGCATACCTCTGCATAGGAAAAATGAATCTCATTGCATAACATGCTAACATTACTTTGAAGTACCAACCAGCTGCCTTTCGTTGGACGTTATAGAATTATTATAAAGTGTCTTTTTATTGTTATTTCTTTAGTTTTTCTACCATTAAACATTATAATACGTCAAAGAAAAGTGTATATTTATTATGAGGGAACTGTGAGTTTTGAGAAGTGTTTAAGCTATAGTTTCTCATTATAATTTCTCTACATAATCACTCATTATATCAATATACTTACGTGTTCTGTGCTACAATTTATTTGCAATCATGTTGTAGAATGATTTATTCTGCAATTCATTCTACTAAATGATAACATCAATGACATCATTATCCATACTGAAAAAAATTTCCTCAAAATTAACTCTTTACAGCAGAGAATAAATAAAAATTTGACAAAAATCATATGGGGGGGGGGAATAAGGTGAATGAGGAAGTGATGTGAAGCAATAAGCAACTGAAGTAGCTTGTGCAATTGGAGCATAGTGAGAAGGCATATTATCTTGATGCAGAACAACTTTTTTAATTTTTCCTGACCTTTTCGCCATATTTTTTTCTCAATTTGTGTATCAGACTGAAATGATATTTCTCATTGGTATTATTGATAGTGCAACCTTTTGTCAGAAAAATCAGCCAAAATTACCCCTTCTTTTTTGTTCTGAAGTAAAGTTTCTAGGCACTAGTTGATACAGCACTGTATTCACGGACAGTTCTTGATGGATGATTTGCACAGATTTGGTTGAGATATGCAAATGTTCAGACGAGTTTTTCATATTCATTATTCATTAAAAATAGTCCATAATCATATCCAGAACAATATTAATTTTTTGTGCAATTTTCATCATTGTATGTCCTTTTTATAGTTCATACCAAATGCTTTTGCAATGGTATTTGCATTCAACAACATACCGTTTACAGCTGTAAATATGATGGCGCGTCATTTTAATATGCAGCATGTCATGGATAATTTTTATTGCAGTGAATTTTTCTGACAGTAGTACCAAATTAGAACACTATCAACCATTCTTTTCTGTAACATTTCTTTCATTTTCCACTTGAGGAAAAACAGAGTAGAAAACATATCAAAACAATGTTTAGTAATACACAAATTTGTGACCAACTAGCACTACTTCTTTCCACCCTTACTATATAGTTATCATTTACGAGGAGCAACATAGCCAATACTCTTCAAAACCTGACCCTGTTGGCAGGTGCTTATATCGACTATTTTTGGAGCCAATGATGGTTGTCACATGTATCTGAAATATCGGTATCTCTATACTCACACTAGTCTTTTTTTATTGCTAATTCATGAATTTCTTCTCTTGCTGTATGTCTTTAGAGGACATTTTTTACTTATGTAGCTCATAAAATATCCTTCTGGAGTTATGATTCAAATTTAGAAATCTTGTTTACAGCACACAGATTTACATAAATTTTTATAGTAGGCATGTCTTACATAGCACTTTTCAGGTTTGAAAATAACTTACCTCTTGAATTACACTAAACATTTAATCAGTTATTATTTCTTCTACTGAAAGTTCTCTTTTCTTCTTTCTTTCTTTCTTTTTTTTTTTTTTTTTAATGAAATAAAAGGTCTAAAAATCATATCTCATATTTTACAATAATATTATGTAGTAAAAGTATTTTCTCTATAATATTGTATAAACAATTCATATGACAGTTTTATGTAGTTGAAACACTAATTCATGATCTGTTTCATAGCAAATATTGTTACATTATTAGATTGAATGTAATTTTTTTTTTTTTTTTTCAATTGCAGGTAAAGTATCGTTAATAGTTTTTGTATTAATTGTTATTCTTTGTGTAGCTTGCATTGTTATTGCTCAAAATAATGAATAACTATTATTTTATAATACTTCTTCATTAAAAGTAAATACATCTTCACAAAAAGTAGTTATGTGTCGAAACAGCATTATGCAAAAAAGAAAATGTAATTATTTATTTATTTTAACATTTTTGTAGTTGGGAGGACCAATAAATTAGTTTGATGAAATGCCATTAATAGTAAGTTACCACATTCTAGGGGAAAATTGTGAGTGCCATTTTAATTTAGCAATGTGAGACATTAATTTGATGCTATAAATAATTCATTATTTTTTGCTTATAGGAAGAAATAGATATTAACACATTGAAGGAATTGTTAGAAAATATCAGGTGAGTTATATTTATTTCCATCTCTTAAAAGGAAATACTTTATATTTTCAAATATATATATATTTACAAATACTTTATATTGCATGAACATTTTCTCCCTATTATATGTTTATTATTTTATATAGTATTTGTTTTGAAACTAAAATCAGTGTTGCACAGATAAACTTCAGATGATGTTTGAAAATATCTTGTATAATAATAAAAAAAAAAAAGTTAAGATTTTTCTTTGCCTTATCTGTGAAATTTTTATTTATTGCCAATTGTTAGAAGTAACCTTGTTCATAAGTATTGTGTCTTAAACTTCTAAAGAACTGCTTACACTTTATATACAATAAACTGATTGTTGCTAAGGAATGTATGAAACTTCAGTGTGATTCAGCTAATTACCTAACAATTCTTAAATAAACTCAATATTATGCATGTTTTCTCTAGTGTGCATTTTGTTTCTGATTTTTTTTTTTTTTTTTTTTTTTTTTTTTTTTTTTTTTGCCATTGAAGCATAGAGCTAATAATAATGAAAAATAAAAATGAATCACCATTTTAATGAAACCAGTTTGGGATAAGAACCCAAACATATTCTTTTTATTTTTGGGGGGGGGAGGGCTGGGGAAATCTTTCACGTAATTATTTTCACAAAAATGAGTTGTTGCTGTCAAAGAGTCTTTACTTAGATTTTGAGCCATGGCCTCATTAACACAACAGTTATAATTTACAGCTTCCAAAATGCAGTATGATAAACACCTGATGTAATTTTCAGGACAAATGTTTTGTGCCAAAATTGTTCAATACTGCAAGGGCTAATTTAATACTGCATTTATTTTTATACAGTCAAAAGTCGTTAATTCGGGCACCCATAATCCGGAATGATCTATAATCCGGACCTCAAAACTACAAACTTTCTGCGCATGCGTCAACGTGACGCATGCGCATAGGCGTTTACTCAGGCGTGTAAAACCTTTATGGTTGCGCATATGCGTGTGCGCATAATACTTACGCATGCGCGTTAATGTATAACGGACGGTATAAGTTAAAATTATTTAATTATCTATTTCAGTTAATGTTGCAGATTGCGTTGTTCCTTAATCTTTGAATTGGATCCGGCTTATTATTTTTTGCAGACTGTTAGAGGAATTTTATAAAAGTAAGCTTGAACTTTCGATTATGTCAAATAGAATTCCGATGCTGAGCTCCCAAAGGATCACAAAGCGAAGTATGTTTCGATGTCACAAACAAAAAGTGGAATTGCTGCAAAAAATGGAAAAAGGCATATCCTTTGTTTCTCTAACCATTCCGAAATCTGTTTATAAATTTCACGCTGCTCTGCGGCCGGGGGGGGGGGGGAACGCCGCGGCACGCAATGAATTGGAAGTTGATCTGTCAGCACTATCTTTATCTTCAGGGCAGATGTTTTTATTTTATTTGGCTTATAATTCCTTACTAAATGTAGTATTTCATCTCAATGTACTCCGTCTTTGATATGATTTAAATCAAATTCTTTGTCATTATAATTCACTTCCGTCTGCAATGAAAGTAAAGCCACGGTTGTATTTATACACAAAAGGAGTAAATTGAACTAAAACGTTGTGCTATCTGTCTACAGAAATCGTAATGATAAATTAAAATTAAGTAAATAAAATTTTAAAAGCATTAGGAAGGGTTAAATTGGAATTAAAGTCATTTACTTAACAAGACAAGTCTTTATGTATGTGAAGAGTTTCAAAAAAATCCAATTCACCAATGGAAGAAGTTTTCTGAATAATTTTTGCAGACTCAAATTTAAAATTGTGATTAAATTTCCGACTATGTTTCAGTATTTACGATAAGTTATCAAATACTTATTAATTTCGCCTTTTTGAACATAAGATTCGTATTCCTTGATGCGAAAATTTATCTATCTTTTAGTTTGTCCGATGTATCTCAAACCACACATAAGGTATGCTATAAATTGCCAAGAATTAAAGTCAATTCCTCAAATCATCGCCCCAACTGAAAAAGGCCTTTAAATTCTCTAAAATATCAGAAACACAGAAAGATACAATCTGCCACTTAATTACTCGTAGCATAAATGATAATAACAGATTGTTTGTTTCGAATCTTAATCAAAAGGAAAGGAAAGCCGTACATGAAATTCGTTCTAATTCTAACATTATAATTTCCAAAGCTGACAAGAGTGGACAGATCATTATTGTGGGCAAACAAATATACATTGAGGGAGCACCAAACTGAAAAATGAAAGCCCATACTGATAAGGTGACCAGATTTCAAAGTTTGAATGCGGATCTATATATAATCATTTTAAAAAATAATAAATTATTTTTATTACAAATAAATTATTTTATTATTATTTTTATTATGTTGGAGGTGGTGTATAGATCGATATATGTTAGATTAAAATAAGTAATTTTTGTTTTACTTTTTAATAGTGATACATAATATTTTTTAATAAGTAAAGAATAAATCAAAACTCAGTATTAATTTTTTAACAAAATAATAAATTTTTAAACCTAAATTATTCGATTAGCCTTGTATTTTTCTGAAGCATGACTATTTCTGAGAATATCTTTTTCGTTTTTGATCTTCATAAACGTTCACGCAATTTTCATCAAAATTTATTTTGGTGATTTATGCATTCTTAAGTGTCCACTTAAAGCTGCATCTTATCACTAGTCCAAACACTGTTCATAATACTAAATACTCGCTTAGTTGCAGCATTAATGCGAGGAGGACAAAAGAAACTGGTAATTTTAAAACATTTGAGCAAGGAATTTGGTTCTTATTAAAATATGCAGTTATTTCCATGCACCTTTGAATTGAGCACGTCTTATTTTTTGACCAATCCAATATTTTTTCTTCCGTGATAATATTGTTTAAAGTAAACATATTCCTCATATTTCCAATAATTTATGATTTGGTATCATTTTATTAAGGCTGTTTCAACATGACTTTGAGAAGGGATTTCATTTAATATGGTCCAGCGTTCAAAATTTCCGTGAATGGATCTTGCCGTTATGTCTTGCAGTTTCTATTTCCTGAAATACTTTTTTTTTGTCCATCTCTCCAAATAACTAAGAATTATCTGATAAAATGAAACAATAGTTTCTTGAAATTCAATAACTTTGTATTATGACATGCTCCAATCTCTTTAAGCTTTAATGTTTTTAATGTTTATTGGAATAAAATTATCCTCTAGCTTGTTCCATACTGAAGCTTTCAGAGCATCTGTTGAAGCAATTACATCAAACACAAATGCAGTTTGATTTTCAATTGTTGTGATAATTTTATGAAGTATGGAAAACTGAGTATTAATAAAATGTAGCCAAACTTCTGCTACTGGATTTAAAAGAATTTTTAAATAAGCCTGGGACATTTTTCTTGAGATTGAAAATAAGCCTTCAGTGGTAAAAACATTTAGAGTACTCTTTCAGTGGTGGGAAGTAACAGTGGTGATAACCATCTTGTTTGTGAATACCCTAGTATCATTGGAAAATCGGTTTCTACGAAATTACAGAAAGTTTTCAATGTTTCTCCTCTAACAGTATAAGATTCAAAGTGTATCTTAGAACAGGGTTTCTTAAATTGTGGGTCGCCAAAAATTTTAGCAGTTTTGCTAAAATTTTTGGCTTTTTTTAATTTCTTTAACTTATTATAATGATTTTACAATTACCAAGTATTTTTACATAATGAAATTGAAAATAGATAAAGGTAAGACAATACAGACGAAAAAAAAAAAAGAAAAACGTTTCGACGCCTTCTTTTTAATATAAACGTTCATTTTCTTGGTTTGCTGTGACGTTGTTATTTCGTCTGTTTACTTATTAAAATTTTCACATCTCTATGTCCTTAATTAGAAATTAAAGTTAATGACCTAAAACTGCAATAGTATATTACAGCACAATTGAAAAAATTGACAGTTTCACTCACGCGTGTGTCAGATTTGCGCAACTTATGGGGTCCGACAAAATTTTTGTAAATATTATGGGGTTCTGAAGGTCGCGAAAAAATCTCAGTGATAAAAATGGGTCGCGACTGAAAAAAGTTTAAGAAACCCTGTCTTAGAAATAATCATTTTTGTATTAACTGGCTAGACATCAGCTTATGTTCTTATAGTGTTATGGATAATATGCTTTGCACATCCAACTCCAATTAAACCATGATTAAGGTTTCGTTTCAAATTAACCAAAACATTTTCTCCACATGTATCAGCTCCTCCAAAGTTAGAATTCGTATTATCGTCACAAAGACCAATAACGTTTTCTTTTAAATTATTTCCTTCAAGACAGGTAGTTAAATAGCTGCTGACAATATTGGATGTTTTACCAGGTAAGTATTTAAATTCTAAAATTTTTACTCTAACTCCATAATCCTATAAATCTAACAAGTATTGGAAAATGTTTTATTTCCTTGTGACTGACACATCAGTTGAAGTTGAAACGAATGAATTTTTTTCCAAATCATTGTGCAAAGTTGTTAAAGGCATGAAAAAAATTTGGTATTATTGTTCCGACCTTAATTTGCGCACATGTCAATTTAGGCTAAAATGCCACCTGAAGCAGCTTGGAAGTATGGTTAAAGACCTAAAGCTATGGTTGTTGCAAATAGTACCAGTGTGCAAAAGTACCTGCTACTGCAGCTAATTTTTCTTCTCCATCACCCATTTCTTTCCGTTTGAAGAATTTCTTTAATAACGAGGTAGTTGCAGCAGCAAAGTTTGATATTTTATACTTATTACTATTTATAGTTTAATATCTCTACGTTCACCATGGCTTACTGAAAATTTTGAAGAACATGTTCACAGCAAAATATTGCACCATACATCAGAATCGCTTATAGTTTTTTCAATAAACGTGTATTCCTCATTTAAGTCTTTGTTAAATGTAATTTTTTTTTTCTGAATCCATTACTAAAAAAATAAATGGTAAAAATAAGTAATAAATTAAACTGTTGTTAAACATACCCTTAGCACGTACGTAATGGACCGTTGATAAATGAAAATATATATG